GTTGGCTTATCCTCTGCTCTCCAACTTCTTACTGGGGAGCAGCTCAAGACTCTGCTCTGGTTCTCCCTATACTGGCTTGGTGTTGTCTCAACCAACCTCATGACTTCAAACTCCATCTGCATGTCAGTGACACACATTCTCTCTCCAACCCAGACCTCTCGCCCTAATCTCTAGACTTAAATGTCTAACTGCCTGTTTGATATTTAAACTTGAGCTTCTCATAGGTATCTCAGACTAAGCCCCAAAGCAAACTCTCATTCTTCCTACCAAACAAATATACTTCCTATGTGTGGTCTTTCTCATCTCAGTTAATAACTAATCATCCCAGTTGCTTGGATCAAAACATCTCAGAATTACCTTGACATCTCTCATTCTCTTATGACTTTCTTCCATTTGAATGAAATACAACTGGCTGTACCTTCAGAATACATCACAAATTAATTACTTCTCATCACCAATACCATCCTGGGCCAAGCTGCCATCATCTCGCACCTGTATAACTGTCTAATAAGTTCCTAACTGGTCTCTCTGTTTCATCCTTGCATTCTTTTATCTTTTCTCAGCATGGCAGCCACAGGGATTCTTTTAGACCTGAGTCAGGCTCTACCACTCCTGTGCTTAAAACCTGTCAAGGGCAGCACCTTACTCAGGAAAAGCCAGAGGCATCACTATGATCATAAGGCCCTGCTTATTTACTACTCCATGACTTCTCTGACTTATTTCCTGCTCTCTGCCCCTTCACAAATGTTGCTCCAGCCACAGTGGCTTCTTTGTTCCTCTTCTGCACACTCCTGCCTCTGTCTCCAAAACTCTTCACCCAGGTATAGGTTTAATTCACTCTTTCATCTCCTTTACTCAAATGTCCCTAACCTCTGCCCCCTCTTCCATCACCCCTGCTTGCCTTCTCTACCTCATCTTTCTCCACTGAGCTCCTTACCATCTAAGCTACAATGAGTTTACTTATCTTGTTTATCTGTCTCTTCTAATAGAACTTGCATTCCATGAGGTCAAGAACCTTGTCTTTCCTGCTCATTGCTATATCCCTAGTCCCTAGAACACATTCTTGAGTGAATGGCTGGTTGAATGAAGGAATGAATTAATGAATGCCCAGACAAAGGGCACCACAGTCTGGGCCACCCTAGGTAGGCCATTAGCAGTAACAGGCTCTTCTAACCCACTGGCCTGACCCAGCTTTCTCTGTAGGGACACTCAGGCTCTCTAACTGTAGGAGGCATGCTGCCCATTTCTGTCTGTCAGAGGTGGCCTGCTCTCTGCCAAAACAAATATGCTTGAAAAGGGTCTTGGGCTCTGTTACAAAACAGCGAAAGAAGGACTGATTCTCTATGCTTCCTTTTTGGGGGAACCCAGGCTAATAACAGCTTTGCCAGGAAACCTCCAGAAGCTGACTGAGCCCACCTGTGAGTGCCCATGCTTGCCCAGACATGTCTGCCATCACTAACCCTGGGATTTCTGCATTTCCTCTATCATTGTAGAAAGGAGATGAGCACTTTTGATGACAGGTCCTTTTTTAATTCCTGCAAGTTCTTCAGCATGCAGCCTGAGAAGTCTAATAAATACTGGTGGGAGAGGGGCTGGAAGAGGGGCAAATCTGGGTTCTATGTGGAATTCTGCAAAGGGTTCTCACTCTAATAAGCAGTGAGAGAGACACAGAGACAGAGGGAGAAGGAGAAAGAAGGTGAGATAGAGATAGGGATAGACAGAGCTAGAGCTTTAGAGGTAGAGAGAGAGAGAATGGAAGGGGAGGGAAGGGAAGAGAGAAGAGTATAAGAGATAGGATAGGGCAGGGGCCAGTAAGCAAACCAAGTGTGACTAAGTCTTCCATGGGTTGTGACAAAGCACAGCCTTTGGGCTCAGAACATCAGCCCTCATTTCTCAGCTCTGGTCCCTTGACTAGCTGTGTCATCCTGCATAATTACTTAGACTCTTTGATCTGTAGTTTCTTTTTTATTTTTAAATTTTGTTATATAGTAAAATATGCACAAAAAGACATAATTGCAAAATGAACACCTGTGTAACTATGACTACCATCCTGACTTCTATGGTATTCATTTCTTTGCTTGTCTTTATATTTTTGCTTCCTAATTACCTAACCATAAATAATATATGTATTTTACTTCTGCCCTATTTTTCAACTTATAAACTTTATATAAGTGGGATCATAAAGCACATTTTTAGGCTTCCCAAGTCCCACAGGATTCAGGTATGTTGGGTAGAGCTGTAATTAATTCATTTTCATTCTTGTAGAATAAATCCTATTTATTTGTCATCAAGCCATCTTAATAAATAAGGCTGCTGTGAACATGTGATGTGTATGAGTCTCCTGGCATACCTGTGCCCTTATTTCTCTTTGGAACATGCCTAGTAGTGGAATCGCTCAAACATAGGCATGCACCGACTTTTGCAGATACTGCCAACTAACTACTTGCCTAACAATATATGCAACTGTCTGTGACCTGCTATTCTCATCACTGTTTGGAATGTACAGTCCCTTTCATTTAGTCATGCAGGTGGATGAGTGGAAGGATCGTGTTGTGGTTTAATCTGCATTTCCCTAAGGAAACCTCATTACTACTGAGGTTACCGCATGTATTCATTGGTCACAGGATTTCCTCTGCTGCAATGTGGCTGTTCAAGTCTCTTGCCTATGTTTCTACTGGCTTGTCTATCTTGGCCTTATTGGTTTGCAAGAGTTTGAGGAGTGAGTCTTTTGATGGTTGTATATGTAGCAAGTACCTTCTTCCAACCTGTAGCTTATCTTTTCATTTTCTCAATCTATTTTTTAAAGAATAGATACTCTTCATTCTATATCACAGGTGGCAAACACAAGGCCCATGGGCCACCTTGTTTTATCCAGCCTGGCACCTTGTTTCTACCCAGCGGCAGCACCAAGCTCTTGCTTAACTGTTAAGGAGCAGTTACATTTATACAGTCCCTAAAATTACATTCGGCCCTTTGAAGGCAACCACGAGGCTGATGTGGTCCCCTGTGAAAATGACTTTCGAAACCCCTGTTCTATATGGTATAATTTGTCAATCTTTTCCCAAAGATTAATGATTCTTTTAATTCATTTAAAAAGTCTTTCACCCAACATCATGGCTATGTTCTCATTTTTCCAATGTTCAAAGGCATCACCTGGCATAAAGCAAAGTCCAGCTATATAGAAGTCTACTTCTGGGCTCTATTCTGTTTTGTTGGTTCACTTTTAACCACCTTGCACCAAAGAAAGCCCACAGAGGATGCAAAAATCCCTGGGTGAGCTTGGGTCCTCCCAAGCAGTTCAGCTGGGGTCATATTTGCTGCCATCAGCAGTGGGCAGGAGGCTGTGGCTAACAGTGTGAGGCCATTTATGAAGTCCAGAAAAGAAACTCTGACTTTCAAAGTTATATTGACTCTTCCACATAAGAGACGTGTGGTTGCATGAAAGGTGGTCAGGAACTATATAGCCAGGAATGGGAGAGGAGAGCTGGTGAGGTAAGGAGTGAAGGAAGGGGCTCAGCCTGTGGTGTCTGCATGATCTAGAGGTGTGCTGTGAGCCCGAAAAGATAAACTTTTGCCTCTGTGTGGAGTCAGAGCCAATTAAACTCTGTGTGGGGAGACAGAGGACTTCCATGATTCCTGTGGTCAGAACCTCAGCATCCCAGGGCCCCTGGTCCACCCATTCAGCAGGGAGTTGGTGGCCCCAGCCCAGCAGGAGTGGTGATCCCTTCTAAAAGCTCCTTTCATGATTACTTCTTAGACACCAATGTACAGAAACAGCAACTGCCTAGCTGGGAGTCATCCTTCCTTTCTCTGGCACCCCATGTCCAGATCATCAGCAAAACCCTGCAGCTCCACCTTCAGAACACATTTACAACTGCCCACTCTTCACAGTCTTCTCCACTCCCACACCAGTCCATGTCCCCATGGCCCTTGTCCCATGACTGTCCCAGACTGTTATGTCCACCTTTGTCTATGGTCTACACTTAACATGGCAGCCCAGAGAGCTCTTTTTATAAACCTAAGTCAGGTCATATCTGTCTCTTGCTCAGAGCCCTCCCTGAAATCTCCACCATGTTCCCAGGCCTTCATGACCTCTGTCATCCCAGGTCCTCTACTCTCCTGTCCTCTCTCCCTCAGACCCACTGGCCTTCCTGAGATTCCTTGTGTACGCTTCAATCAGTCCCACCTCAGGGCCGATGCACTGCTGGTCCCTCTGCCTAAATGCTGTTCCCCTGCATTTTCCTGGCGACTCTACTAAGCTGGCTGGGTTACAACCACTAATGCAATGCCACCTCTGTCCTTCCACCTAGCTTTATATTGCTCATCGCAGTTTCTCTCTGCTGGACATCATGTGACATTTAACTTGCCTAATTCTGTCTCCCATAGTTCAATGCAGAGGAAGGGAGGGTAGTGGCATCACCTACTTTTACTTTGTTTACCACCAAACTCCTGGTGTCTAGAACAAAACCTAGTACATTTTAGACACTCAATAAATGTTATAAATAAAGGAGGAAGTGCCTAAATGGGAACTACTGGTTTTCCAATTAGTGATGGGGGCAGATTTTGTGAGCAGTGCAAGGGACCTCTGCAGCTGTAGCAGGTGCCACAGAGAGAAAGATACTGTACCTAGGCATCTGATATGACCCTGTGGGTGCTAACTTCTGGCCTTTGTGCAGAACTCATCCACCTGAAGCACCCAGCAGGGGTCTGATGCTGAGCACCAAGTATGCAAAAGGCTCAGGACTATGTGGTTGGAGGATGGCATGCCTTTGAAAAGGGACCCTGATTTCCACTGCCAGGGTCTGCTTGGTGCACCTGAGGGACAGCTCTTGAGGGCCTGATGCAGAAGAGGACAACAGTGCCTGACTGCCTTAAGAAGCATGGGACACAGCCAGGGAGTCCTGAGCAAGAGGGGTCCTGTAGGTCCAGTGTGGGGTGAGGGGAATGATTACCTGGATGCAAGGGTTCTAGAGGGTGAACATGCAGGCTATGGGCAGTACCTCCACCAAATGGGGCCCAGATGACCCGGCGGATGGCCTGCACCCAGTTCTCCATGTCACGTTGAGAACTGGCCATGAGCAGGAGCACCTCAGGGTTGGCCGGCACCTTCTCCCGCTCCCCGGCATCTGCAAGACAGGGAGACGCAGGCTTACTACAGGGACCCTTGTGCAGACACAAGGTGCCTTCTCTCACAGCACTCTCTCCAGCCCCCAAACCAGTTAGCTTTTTATTCCCTGGGCTGTGAGAAAGCTGTCTCTCCAAAACCTTTCAGCAAGAACTGGACTCTGGGTTCTATTTTTGCAGCCTATTCCTTTCACACCTCACATATCTGTCTTTGTGACACTTCAGGGTTTCTTTTCTCCCTCAGTCTTATTTTTCTGTATCGAATCAGAATTATTAAAATCACCCTGGGGCACTACTTTTAAAAGCATGCAGATTAGAGGCCAGTGGAGAAGTTCAGTACCCAGAGTAAAATTCCATAATTCTGCACCTGTCCCTGCTCACATCTGAAGGCACAAGATGGGAGAGCTCTATTTCTGAACCGACTTTTTCCTATAGTAACTTCAGTGGTTCTCGTGTTTTCATGTGTAAATGTTTCATTTTTCACATGCAAATGAGTTAATCTCTGGAATATAGATAAAACAATTTACACTGAACTTCACAGGCAATTTAAGAACTTTCTAGAACGATCTTGTCTTGATGCACCCCCCTCCTCCAACATCACACCATATGTAACTCACCTATGTACTCGCATAAGATCACAGAGCCTCAGACCCTAATCAGGGTTGTCTGCTGGTGGGGTGAGGCCCAAGGACCCGTGTTCCCAAGGAGACAGAATGGCAGTAGGGACAACTGTGACACCCAAGATGATCCTTACTGGAGGCTGCAGCCCCAGAACAGAGATCACACAGAAGTAAGAGCTTACTGAGCACTGGTACCTGCCTGAGACCCTTTTATAAGCTGCAGACACTTAAATGAACAAAGCTGACAGACACACCTGCCTTCCTAGGATTCTTTAACCTTCATAGGCAATGCTGAGGGAAATACTTTTACTAGCTTCATTTTACAGAAGAGGAAACTGAAGCACAGGGTGATTAAAGAACTTGCCTGAATTCACACAGCTAATGTATAGTAAAGTCAGGGATTCAAAGTTCCCAGCTCTGGGATCTGACCCACTGCATGTTCCCACCATCCTTCACGAACAAGGTGGCCTGTTGGGGTCAGGCTGTTGTGGTCACAGCAATGCCACCGAGGACTGGGGAAGCTGCCTAGGCTGCTCTGAGAGCTGGAGCAGGGGAAGGGATGCATCCTCACTGAGGGGGTGCAGGGAGCTAGGTGGGAAGCAGGAGATTCCAGTGGGACCCAAAGTTCAGGAAGGTGGTGAGCAAGAAGACAAGACTGCCTGAACCCTAGGGTGCCTTCCTGGGCCCATCACTACACATCCAGCCCTGCTCCTTTGGGTCCATGCAGCCACTGAGCAGCAGAGCTACAGAGGTGAAGAGGAAGACAGCTTGAAGCAGCAATAACACAGCCTGAAGCCCAATAGGTAGTGTGGACCTGCTGAAAACACAGGCTACCCCACAGCTCAGCCAGCTGCTGGGGTCATGAGTGGGTTGTGGGCACTGCCACTGAGGTGACAACAATGGCTCTGCATGGACTGCGAGGGCTGAAATGTCTGAGTGGTCCAGGTGGGGGATGGGAAGGTGGATACCACCAGAAAGCTTTTCTGGAAAAGAGTTTCAAGATGACTTAGAGATCCTTGGCTTTGAGAACTTGCTGTGGTTACTTGTTTGTTCTAAATGAATACTGAAGTTTGTACCTAATTGGAATATCTAATTTTGCAATTCTTTTTCCCAAAGAGGGCCACCTAAGTCGTATAGGCTTCATACAAACTTCATCTACACACTTGGACCTGCCATGCCCAGATGTTGACAGATACTCTCAAATCCATCTGTACTAGCACCCATAGTCCTGCTCTCATGATGCTCCAAGCTTGTGCCCTTGACTTTTAGTGTATTTTTCATGTATGCATGCTTATTTTGGGGGAGGACTCAAAAAAACAGGAATTTACTTATAAAAATTGTGTATTTATTCTTACATGTTTAAATTTCAGTTGCTTTCAAAGCACTCTCCATTTGATGCAATACACCTATCAAGATGTTTTTTCCACTTCTCAAACAGTTTTTGAACTAATGCCTATTACTGCTTCTACCATTTTTTGTTTCACCTCTTCCACACAGAAAACACATTTCTGTTTGAGGGCATTTTTCACCCAGGGAAACAAACAAAAAAAGTCACTAGGGATGAGATCAGGTGAATAGGAGGGTGGGGCAAGGGGGTCATGCTGTTTTTAGTCAAAAACTGCTGAACATTCAACACCGTGTGGGCAGGTGCACTTGTAAATCACCCATCATGAAATGGGCAATGCACTACAAGAGTCTTTTAAAAAAAATTCACTGAGGCTGAATGCAGCCTCTCACAACAACACCAGCTGGTACATTGATACAGATGGGCTCCTAGAACACTCACCTAGTAGGGGGCAGTTGTACTACAAAAGGCCCATCCTCCAAAAGGCAATTCTGTTTTTTGGGGTCCCCTCTCATATATATGTTATATACATATGTTTAATTTTTTAAGAAATTGCCACAAACTGCTTTCCAAAGTAACTGCACCCTTTATAGTCCCATCAGCAACATACAAAAGTTCCAGTTCCTCCACTTTTTTACCAACACTTGGTCTTGTCAGCCTTTTTACTTTTAGCCATTATAATGGGTGCATAGCAGTACAGCATTGTGTTTGAATTTGCATTTCACATAATGACTAATGATGTTGGACATCTTTTTATGTACTTAATTGCCATTGATGTATCTTCTTTGGTGAAATATCTGTTGAAATCATTTGTCCATTATTTAAAAGTGTTGTTCATTTCTTTTTATTATTGAGATCTGAGAGTCCTTTACCTATTCTGGATACAAGTCTCTTATAAGATACATGCTTTGTAAGTATTTCTCCCAGTCTGTGCTTTTTCTTTTTATTCTATTCACTGTGTATTTCCAAGAGGAGAAGTTTTTAATTTTGATGAAGCCCAGTTTACCCACCTTTTTCTTTTATTGAGTGTGCTTCTGGTTTTGTATTTAATAAATTTTTCCCTAAGCCAAGGTCATAAAAGTTTTCTTCCAGAAGTTCCATAGTTTTAGGACTTATATTTAGGTCTATGAGTTAGTTTTTGTATATGGTACAAGATAGGAATTGGAGTTTGTCCAATTTTGCACGTGGCTGCCCAGTTGTTCTGGCACCATTTGTTGAACAGACTATCCTTCCTCTGTTGACTTGCCAGTGCTCCTACATAGGCAATCGCACCATCTGCAAATAAAGACAGTTTTAGTTCTTCTTACTTTCCAATCTGGAAACTTTTATTTGTATTTCTTGTCTCATTGCACTGACTACAGCCTCAAATACAATGTTAAATAGAAGTGGAGTGAGTGGACATCCTTGTCTTGTTCATCTTATGGCAAAGGCATTTGGTTTTTCACCATTAAGCATACCTGCTATAGGTTTTTTTGTGTCAATGTCCTTTCTCAGGTTGAGGAAGTTCTCTTCTATTTCCAATTTGCTGAGTGTTATTTCTTTTTTTTTTTTATCAGAAATGGATATTGGATTTTTGCCAATTGCTTTTTATGTATGTATTGAGATATTGCATGAATATTTTTAGTTTATCAATATGATAAATTATGTTGACAAATTTTCAAATTTTAAACCAACCTTGCATTCCTGGAATCCTGATTGATCATGATATATTATCCTTTTTATATATTGTTGAATTAAATTTGCTAAAATTTTGTTGAGGATTTTTAATTTATATTCCTAAAGGATATTGGTCTACCATTTTCTTTGTTGGTTTTGGTATCAGGATCATGCTGGCTTCAGAGCATCACAGTGTCATGTGTCACAGACCATATGAACTAATACCTAAAATATTTGCTACCTAGCCCTTTAGAAAAGAGCTCATTAACCAGAACAATAAAGACAAAAATATAAACAAAGTCACTAAAACAAAAAACTGTGGATTTTTTTGAGATTAATAAAATCAGGAATTTCTCCACATGCATGTGGTGATGAGTTCCCAAGGGAGTTTTTCTTTCTGAGCAGCTCTTTTTCCCTTGGTATTATATCTTGAAAACTCTAGACACATTGGTATCTCCCATCTCCAAGCTGTCTTCTTAATTCATGAAGCCCTGTGATCTCCACTTGGGTTTCCTTTTCCTGCATCATAGACTGCAGACTTTCTCAGGGCAGTAAGCCTGTCATTGCCCAATGTTCAGTGTCTTAAAAAACATGTTTCTTACATTTTATCTTCTTTTGTGGATGTTTTAGGTAGGGGACTAAGTCAGTGACCTAGTTAAGACCCAAACCAGCACATATCAGCTCAAAATCCTGCCATGACCACTGCTGCCTCAACAAAGTCCTTGCAATGGTCTTCCAAGCTGTTCATCCCCTCACCCCTGTTCCTCTGTTGGAGTCTGCCCTGCCTGGTCTCAGGAAGCTGTAACCTCCGGCGACTTAGGCTGAGTGAGAGACCTCTAAACCAGGAGCCACTAAGGAGACAAAACTTATTTCCCTGGCATGAATGCTGCCTGTTCTGTGCCTGGCCTCCTATGCTTGATCAGTTAGCCAGTGATGGGTAAGATTTCCCATGGGGGGAATTGTCTAAGGCAGGCATGATCACGTGGAGGCTTCTGGGAAGAGACTGGGGGCTGTGGAAATGAAGGGGTGATCAACATCGACCCCTGCCCCCTCGGCTTTGTCAAAGCCTGAGTTCCTTGTTCTTAGTTGTGAGAAATCCAAGTCTCCTGGCTGCCTTTGTCTCCTCTGCCCGACTCAGGCCTGCAGAAATAACAGGGGAAGTGCAGTCCAGACCAGAGTCGGCAGACCCCAGGGGTAATCAGGCCTGCGACATAGGATATGCAAGATCCTGTGAGATCTGCTTGCTGGAGGGTGTCATTGAATTAGAATATGAAGGCATGGGCAGGAAAAGAAACTAACCTTTTAGGTCCTGTAGTCTTTTTAAGTGATAAAACCCCAAACTCTGCCCAGAATCCCAGCAGAAGTTCTGTCGGTCCCTTTG